TAAGGGATGCCAACTTTGTCCATTAAAGGCCTAGTAGGACCCTCATGGTCTTAGAGGCTGCCTGTGGCTTCCTTCTGGGTGAAATCAAAATAGATCAATAGCAGAACTTTGCTGTTGATCATTTCAAACAATAATGATCTCTAATCATACAACATGAGAGATACACAGATGAACTATTAGTAAGGCTGTATGCATTTATTTTTAAAATTATGCAAATATATACACAACCTAGTTGCGGCATTCAGGGCTAGTTGCTAATTAGACCCAAAGCACAGGCACCACAACAGAAAATGCTAGGATTGATTAAATAAACTTTATGCTGTTATGAACTGGGAAGTTAAAGAACACAGCATGTGTCATGGTCACGTAAGATTAACCCTTGATGTTGGGACAGATATCACAGATTGAAAATTAAAAGCTGTTTGAGCAATATGAAAGCACAGTTTCACATCTGGAATCTGTTTTCAAAAGTGAGGAACTAATATGTCTGAGCTATTAATAAACCTTGCATTGGTAATAGGAGTCATTCCTATTGGATGTCCTGACCTTCTGGTGAAAATTGTTGCCTGGCCATTACATAGACCAGATTGTGTTTAAATTATCAATAAGAAAAACCTGTCTTAAGGTCAAGACAGTATTGGTGTCTGCTATGGATTGTCCTCAGTATGTTACTTAGAACATGGAAGGTCTAATGTCCCTTTTTACTATGGCTTTAGTTTTTGGTATCCCGAAGTTAGCTTTAGCCAACAAACATAATGGACTTTGCTTCCTTCTATCTCCTGGAACAATAATAATATAATGGATAGCTATGTGTTCTGGACCCCCAAACCCCAGATACACATGGGTATGTAGTCTCTGGCCAAGATTATCAAGATGAGGATCCCAAAATTAAACTCTGAATCTATATTTGGGCATGCAAGTCAATGACTTGATTTTAAAAAATGTGGTGCCCCCAGTAACTCCCACTGAACTAAGCAGGTTTTAAAGTCCAACTAGAGGTTCCAATTTTTTTTTTAAGATCCTTCCCCTGCTCCCAACAGCTAAAGTGAATAGACTTCAGAGTTGGTGAGAGTGAAAACTGATTTTCTGCTGTGCATAGGTAATATTAATATATTGTGGCTGGTTTGAAAAGGCTCTGCTGGGGGAAATCAGTTATAGAAGTATCACAAAATTCCTAGAAGTAGCAGCAGCCTATTATGCCAGCCCCATGGCTCTAGGCTTCTGTACAAATGCTGGGCCATCTTGCATGAGCATGTTGGATTAGAAAACCCTGACAACTCTTATGCCCAAGACATTTTAGAGTTACAAAATGTTTGCAGCCCAAGAATATACCAGCTATATCTGCACTGGCCCTGGGGTAGCAGAGCCCAGGTGCCGCTGTAACTCACACCAGCTGCTTATAGTCCCCAAGGATAGCCAGCTAGGAATATCATTATTAATCAAAGGTTGGAATAAACAAATGCCGAACCAGTTTTTCTGAAATGCTCCTGTGCTACCTCAGACATATATAATGCTTTAGATGGAATGCAGAGAATCCATAATCTTAAAAGAAAAAAAAAAGCAGGATGCCTTCAAAGAGAAAATGACAAATTAGGCAATGTCTGGAAGACATTGTTCCAATGGGAGTGTTTCTTAAGTAAGGACTGTGGATCAGACTCATTGAGGTCACTGTATAGTTCAGACATATGTAATAAAATAGACGATGCATATGTGGAAAATTTGGAGACCATTATAGCCTGAAGATGTCAGGTACACGCACTGTGAGCATGATATATTCTCCAATGAACTTTCAACTTACTTGCCTCTTGTAATACAAACTGCTAGCACACAATAATTCTGTCCTGGGTTTGTTTCCTGAGACATATGATTAAAGAAAATTTACAGTAAAAAGAAAATCCTAACTCCCATTATTACAAAGCTCATGTTCTATTTTTTTCTTTATTTTGATGTATACAGTTCAGAAAATCTGTAGGGCACTTTATAAAATACATTCAAAGATGTGGTCCCTATCAAAAATATCTTCCAATATAATCTGAGTTGTCACTTAATGAGTATTAGGTAAACCAGTCAGAGAAATGCGGTAGGACACACAAGGAGCACAGAAATATGATCACATAGTTCCTGTATGTGTGTGTGTGTGTGTGTGTGTGTGTGTGTGTGTGTGTGTGTGTG